AGTGTGAGTCTCCTAAAAATGTATTTGATGTGTGGTTTTGTGGGTATAGCACCTCTTTGAAGTGTGACATGCTGAGAAATGCCTGAATTAATGTTCTCTGATGGAGTAAGAAAAACAGTGAATGGAGGTGGACACTTTCCTTTCCTTTGGATGCTTTGTCTTGTTGACTTAGCTAGTCTGGAAAATGATAGAGCTATATGTTTCTTTTAAAGGATGCAGTCTTGTATATCAAACTTTAAAAAGACTTCTTGGCTCACAGTAGAAATGAGGCGTTAATGCCATTTTAGATTCATTTACTTTTATTGCTCAAGGTAAGGAGTGTTCAACTGGGCCAGATACTGCTTGGATGCTAGACACTGGATCCTGAGTAGTCCAGAGACCTGGGATAGGGGTGTCTTGTCATCATCTGAGAGGCTTCCTCGGACAGTAGCTGGGAGTGGATACAGAGACCCACGACCAGACACTATGTGGAGAGAGAGTCTAAATCAGATGTTTCCAATTAGTACCTACTCAGAGTTCAGGGTGTAATGGATTATTAAAAATTGCTGCAGGATTCCCAGTGGTGACAGGCAGCAGAAACGTTGCAGGGTCCCCAAGTGGTGGCAGGCACGGGGCCACGGTTCCGAGAATAGCCAATCCCAAGCAGGGACAGTGCATGAGACCATGTGGCAGGTCTCCAAAGGTCCATGTGGGTGGCGGGTGAGAGACAGACAGATACGCACACCATACATTGTGAGATTGGATATTTATTTAGTGTTTATGAAAGGGAAGGGAGAAGAGCAGAGAAGTAGAGAGAGAGACAGAGAAGAGACCAAAAAAGCTCCCTCTCTGAGAGGAAGATGGAAAAGAAGAGAAAGACTCAGGCTGGAAGCTGAAGATCAGCTTGCCTCAGTGGATGGGGGAGGGAGTGGGCACAGCTTGCCTCTTAAAGAGACAGATCATTATACAGGGAATCCCTTGGAAGCAGGAGAGAGGAAGACTGTGAGCATCAGAGGGGATGAAGAACACCAGGAAAATAGGCCATTGAATCAACTAAGCAGGGCACATATGAGCTCACAAAAACTGAAGGGGCAAGCAAGGGGCCTGCATGAGTCTGCACCAGGTCCTTACTTGTGGCCTGGTGTTTTTGTGGGACTCCTAACAGTGGGACAGGGTTTGTCTCTGACTCACCCTTTTTTTCCCAGTACATTTTTATGATTATTTGGGAGTTTCATGTAATGCACCCTGATCATATTCACTTCCCTGCCTTCCCAGGTCCACCCTCTCCCACCCCTTGTGACTTCCTCCAGAGGAAAAAAAAAGAAGAAAATACCAAGTCCAGTTTGTATTGGCCATATTCTCACTGGAACATGGTCACACTCCCAGTGGCCAGTTCCTTAAAGAAAACTGAGTCATTCCCCACTCCCACCCCTGCCAAAGCCATAAATTGTGCAGAGCTATACTTCAGGATCCCAATCACAATTTTTAATAGCTCTCTTCAATGGCTTGCTGCCTGTATTGTTTTTTAGCTGGTGGGGGCGGTGTAGGGATAGGGTTCGGAGAAAGGTTGTCACAAAAGCTGTCTATGGCTCTCATTGGCAAATGTGTGTCTGCAGTCATCAATACTACTGCAAAAGAAGCTTCCCTGCCCTTTACAGTCAGTGGCAGTACAGATCATGAACTTCGACCTGATTTTGGGCACTACAGACCACAGACACCATCATGGCCAAATACATCAACATGGCCTCTGGTGGCAACACAGGCCCAGGACAGCAACATGATGTTGGGTAGCTTGTCTCTGACTCTTTGGCCTGCTCTTGGGACTCTTTTCCTGCTGTTATGTTGCCGTATTCAGCTTAGATTTGAGAGCTCTTGCATAGCCTTATTATGCCTTGTTTGGCCATATTTAGTTGTTGTCCACTAGAGGTCAGCTCTTTTCTGATGGGATACAAATGGGGAGTATATCTGAAGAAGCGGGGAGTAAGAGGAGCTGGGAGGAGTGGGGGAAGGGAAAATTGTGGCTGGGATGTGAGAGAAGAATCTATTTTCAACTAAAAAACAAAAAGTAAAAGAGAAACACTGGAACTGAAACAACTTTTATGGTAATAAAACATGGAGAGCTCATATAATTAGACTAAAAAAGAAAAAAGATGCTATTAAAAGAAAACTTCTAATATAAAACATTAAATGTCTAGTTTTTGGTGGACATACTTTTTATCAATTTGCTATCCATTTTTTTAAATAGTGAAGCTATACTTTTTTAACTATAACAAAAACCATAATTCTATGTTCAAATAAACCCTTTCATAGTTTTCCTTGTGTAGTCTTTACAAACCTGCCCATTTCTATATTTAGGCAGGGTTTACAAGCTGACTGGCTTTTAAAAAAAATCTTACAAAGCAGCTTATGTTCTGAAATCCTCCCGTTTTATCCAAGCTTATCCCTCAGTGAACACTCCTGCACAGTCTGTTCAGGGTTGTGATCAGTAAATGAAGTCAAAATTAAAATGAGGTAACTATTATATGCTCTCTGTTGCATGTATCTTTTCCAGATAACCATGCTTTCATTCTTTCTGATACAAGAACCTACTAAGAAACCTTGCCTCTCCCTTGTAGAAATGAAGCCACCGGGAACAGTTCTGTTTCACAAATGGTGGATTTGATGAGAAGCATACTGACTAACATCCTTGCTGCTCATTCTGAATGGTCTGATAATTCCCTGGTGCAGTAAACTGATTTTATTTCTAAGTGTTAGACATTTATTACTGGAAGATATACTGCCTGTGTTTCTAGATATTAGCAAAAGTTACATTTCATTGGCCAACAGTTGTGCATTAATGGCTCGCAAGAGAATATAGAGAATATGTGGCGTGTGATAGAGGCCCATTCTTCTAGCCTCGATTGCAAGTGTATCCAGTGACACATCTGATTTAAAATAGTGGAATGAAGATGCTCAGGGGAAGCAACAGGCACTGCGAGTGCTGCAATTCAAAGTATGTGAAAAACAGACATCTCTGAAGAGTCAGATAGCTGGATGAAGGGAAGAGTGGGGCTGTTTCTATCTCTAAATTGTTGTTTTTTAATCACACATAGAATTCGACAACTCATAAATATAACCCAACTATTACTATAGTAGTTAATAGTTATAGATCTTCAACCACCAAGGATATTCATTTCCAAAATATAACCCTATAAAATATTCCTATTAAATCAAGTTTAACAGCCATTAAAACATAATTAAAAAGCTAAATTATCATGTATTTACAATAAATGAATAAAGTCTAAAATAAATATTAGCTCACTTTTGGATAGTATCCTAGAAAAAATACAATCTCTGAGATGTTTTGAAAGACTTGGAAAATTGTATTTTTCTATTTCCAAATAATTAAGACAATAAAATTAAGTTCCTCAGAATTAGTATGTATACCAGAAAAGCCATAATATAGACAGAATTCTTTTAGTCCTTCATACCCAGGAGGAAGGGTAATGTTCTGAAGCCTGTGTGGCTCCTAAGAGGCAAAAGCAATATTCCTGTTAGTTATGCAGGAAATTATTTGTTTCTTCAACTGGTAATGAAGAATTCAAATCATTTTGTTTGATCGTGGCAAAAATAAAAGGCAATACATTAAACTGACTACTTTATTTAATTTATTCTCTTAATTCATTTCAACAATCAAAATAAGGAGAAATTTTCTGATTCCCTGCCAAGGGATTTGCTCAAAATTGTGCCTTTCAAATAAAATACCCAACTCTGAGCCATGTACACTGCCAATCAGAAAAATAAATGCAGATCATAGGAAGGTTTTCTGTGGAACAACGTTTATGTAATGCCTTCTTGACCTGATTTACTTGTAGCCTCACAAATCACTGTGGGATGCATACATTTCCCTCCATTTCTTTACTTGGTGTGATGTCCACACAATATTCAATTGTTTAAAGCTGAGAGACTCTTCATGCATGTTCTTTTTCCTCCACAGACACCCCCCTTTCAGGACAGTATTCATAACTTCATGCTCACAACCACAAAATTGGTTTTTCAACTAGTTTGTCATTCTTTCATGGCTGTGAGTTCAGGGGAGGAAGAAGAGGTCATTTCTTTTTCTCTTTTTGGTTCGTAACAGTTAATAAAGTGCCAGCTACATGTAGGCTGCCAATGAACATTTTATGGCTAGAACACAGACAAACACTGTGGTTGGTCTGTGTGAGAATGTCTCTCAAAGGCTCACATATCTGAACATTTGGTGCCAAGTTGGTGGCACTATTTGGGGGAAATTTAGCAGGTGTGGCATTGTTGTAGGAATTACATCACCAGCACCAGGGACAGGCTTTGAGAGTTTAAGGATCTGTACCATTTCCGATTCATTCTGCTTGTGGTTTGAAGATGTAAGCTCTCATCTGGCTCCTCCTGCCACCATGCCTGCTGCTAGCTGTCATGTTTCTCTGCCATCATGGGCTCTGGAACTGGAAGACCAAACAAACTCTTTGCTCTAAAAGTTGCTTTGGTCATTATGTTATATCACAGCTACAGAAATCTCGCTAATAAAAACATAAATGAAATTATGACACCTATAACTCATTTACAAAACACTAAATATTGTTACTGATGACTGAAGGTGAATATAACATTATGAATAAAGACCTAATGAAACAAACATTTTTCCATTTTGGACTCAATAATATACAAAACATAATACATAGAAAATGTAACTACAGATGAAAGAAGGGGACTGTTCACAGGACTCTGAGTTGAAGATGGAAGTTCTCCCTTAGGACAATGTCATCTGTCACTTGGCAGACACTAAGATATCAGTTATCCTTGAATAAATGCCACAGTCCAGCTTTATTCCCTAATTTAAAAAATCATTTTCATGAAAAGAGACGATAAGGATAAAATAATTACCAAGTATTTATTCCTGATGGAAAAGTTGCCTCCATAATACACATGCTTGTGGTGCTTTATTTATAGAGCCAAAATTTCCCAAGACTTTGAGCATTGCACTAACCATAATCAACCAGAATTTACATCTTCTTTAGGCCAAGAGACATGACTGGCTCTGCCCCAGTTTAACTGTCTAGGTCATATCCAGGAGGTAAATAACACCATCTGACTCTAATAGAAGTTTACAGTAAAAATTCCTCTTCAGGCTGCAGATGGTAGAACACTTAATTAGCATGTGCAAGGTCTGATTACTGCAAAGAGAAAAAAGTCAATAAACAAAACGTCCTCCTCATAAATATATACCCCAGTAAAATAAATTAAATATAATATAAACAATGGGAAACACAATTCTAGAATAGGTATCAATGGCATGGTTGTTTTCTATGATGATTCTACCAACATTTCCTCCCATGGGTTTTCTCTTTAACTGAGATGAATCTGTGCAGGGGCTTCCTGTGAACTTTGTTCTCATGGAGTCCTCTTCTGAGTGCTGAGAGAATGAAGTCTGGTCCACATCAGTCTCACTGTCATGGTAGCAGCCATCGAAGGCCATGGCTTGAACTGCATCAATATTGTACATTCCAGAAATCTGTCAGAAAGACTTTTCTTCAGTTAGTCACAAAAGTGATGCTATGGACAGGAACTACAGAAAATGTAAGTCAGACACCAAACAGTTCCCATAAACATTAAGCTTGTCTTGTTCATTATTAAAAAAAAAAAAAAAACCAAAACAGAATTCTAGGTTTGCTTCTGGCATTTGACTTTAAAAAAAATCATTTAATAAGAAGTGGAAAGCATCGCCTTGCAAATCCTGATGTAGCAAGGAGGTTCATATTTAATTCCATGGGATAATTTGGGCACCACATGATTAAGTGCTATACCAGTCTAATGTTAGTAATTCCTAATATACTCCTGAACTGATACTCAGTTGTCCCAGATGCTTGCACTCCTCTTTGTTCCGACCAGTATGAACAGTCTGCCATGGCTTTATGAGTTGAGGGTGACTGTGATTTATTACATCACCAATATAGGCTCCTTGGATTTGCTTTCCAAATCCATTTTCCTCTTTAAAGAGAACATAATAATACACAGATCCATGTCTCTTTTTTTAATTTTTGGTCGCAAACCAGAAGAACACTAACTGCCTACTTACCCTTAAGTTGGGGTTGAGCTAGTGAAAGGGTTTTACTTGTTTTTGAAAATGAAACGAGTCAGGCTTTCCCATTTTTGCCTAAAACCACTTCTAACACTGCTAACAAAGCACAGTAAACTAAAATGAAATTGGCTTGTTTTTCTAAAGAAGTATTATCAGTGATTTCTAGTCTGGTTGAATCTGTACTGATTTTTTTTGAGTTTTGCTTTGGGAGGTAGTGACTCTCACAAACCTGGAGCAGTGTCTAGGAAGCAGCTGTTAGTAATTGCTTTTGGAGAAAATAAAATCCTTCTTGATCTCTGGGGGAGTTGAAATATGAACAAATAAGAAGAGGCTATTCTAGATGAAATTACTTAGAATTTAAATTGGAGGCCGCAGAGTCAACTCTATCAAAATGCATATTTGATTCATTGCAATTTAAAACTGTAATATTTTACTGAATCAAAAATACACAGAGACTTCTGTGCATTCAGTTAACTAACTAGTGGGGATCTACACTATTGAATTACATTACCCGTTTTTGCTTTAATAATTGTAAAGGCATACATTAAAAATCTATATTCTATGGCCAAGGTCCACAACACTGATGACAGCTTATGCTGGAAGGATTGTGGGGTAAAGGGAACACTCCTGCATTGCTGGTGGGAGTGCAAACTGGGACAGCCCCTTTAGATGTCAGTGTGGCAATTTCTCAGAAAACTAGGAAACCTTCCTTAAGATCCAGCAATACTACTTTTAGGTATATATCCAGATCTCCAAAGCTAAACCTCCCTACACTTCCAAATACACACACACACACACACACACACACACACACACACACACACACACACGAGAAAAGAAGGAAGGAAGCAAGGAATAGCAGAAATGGGAATAACATAAATAGGAAAGGCACATCAATCCCTGCAAAAAGAGTTCAAATATTGACACCTGGGTCAACATTCCTGAAATGAATTACGTGACCTCCCTTCTGGTGCTTATAATTCCTCAGAATTGGGTCTCCTACAGGAACTCAGACCTGCAACAGGCCAAAACAGGAAAATCAATTTCTGTGCACATCTTAATGTGGCAGGGGGGAATGGGCTGATGTGGGATGTCCTTCTGTACATGCGGTGCTTTTATTGGTTGATGAATAAAGTTGTTTTGGCCAATGGCTTAGCAGAGTAAAGCCAGGCAGGAAACCCAAACAGAGATATATAGAGAGAGTAGGCAGAGTCAAGGAGATACCATGTAGCTGCCAAAAGAGATGGTCGCCAGAACTTTACCCAGTAAATCACAGCCTCGTGGCAATACACAGAATAATAGAAATGGGTTATTTTAAGATATCAGAGCTAGTCAATAAGAAGCCTAAGCTATTAGCCAAGCAGTGTTGTAATAAAAAAATCTATATTCTACTAAATTTTTAAAAATCTAGAAGAAGAAAGGAATTGAAAGAGACATTAGAAGATGAATATACTCATGGAATATCGATATCATGGTAATTGCTTTCTATTAAAGATAATCTACAGATTCAATGTAATTCAATGCAAGTTTCAGGTCCATTTTTCATAGATTTAGGGAAAAAACAATCAAACAGGCAAAACCAATCTCAAACAAAATGAGTACTTGAGGAAATAACACATTTGATTTCAAGTTATGCTACAGAGTCATAATAATAAAAATTCCACAGTAGTGGACCCAAAGTAGACTCATAGCTAAGTGAGATAGAATGGAAAACCCAAATATAACTCCCTAATTACAGCTGCCTTGTCATTGATGAAGTCATCAAAGAAAAATACATTGAAGAAAAGACATCATCTTTAACAAACAGTACTTGGAAACCTGGGTATTAGCATGTAAAAGAATGAAACTCCAACTCTAACTCTCAACCTACACAAAACTCAATTCCAATGAACCTAAACACAAGGACTGATATTCTGAAAATGCTGAAGGAAAAAAGGTAATGAGTTTCTAAATAACACTCTGAAGGTACAGGGTGCATCTGCAAAGAGGGTCTCATGAAATTTAGGTCTTCCTTATGGCAAAGGAAACTGTCTGTGGATAAAGAGGTAGCCCACAAAATGAGAGAAAATCTTTGTCATCTGTATATCAAACAGAGGGTTCCTGTCAAGAATATACAATGAAATAAAAAACAAAGCAAGCCTCCTCCTCCGAAAATACTAAATATTAATTATTTAAATAATCTAATTAAAAATGGCTACAGAAGTAAAGAGAGTTATCAACAGTAGAAATAGAAATGACAAGGATTCACTTTAAAAAGTGTCTAGCATCCTTAACCATGAGAAAAATGTTATTAGGCAATATCAAAATATGATGAGTCATAGACTCAAAAGCTAATCCTGATTGCCCTTTAGTTCTGTGAGCTTGGATATACTTACTTTACCCCTGTAAAATGAAGGTGAGAAAACATTGACCTCTCAGAGATACTATGGAAATTAAATTCCACAAAATATTTTAGGTATTGGCATAATTCTAATATAAAGCAAACACTTAATACATTCTAGCTATCACCACCACCACCACCACCACCTTTTAAAAAAAATGTGGTTTACAACAACCCTTTCTTCTAGTGGGGCAGAATCAGTGGACCAATGTGCACTGAGAACAACTCTTCATGCACAAAAGCCCCTGGTGAAAGTGAGTGAGAATGCTGAGGAAAAAGGCAGCCTGGAGCAGTGATTAATGTTCTACCTTATACTGTACCAATATTGCTCAATTCTGCCAAGGCATTTGGATTTAATGCAAGAGTTTTAAGAACTGTAAGTGGAAATTTACTAAAGAAGTTTGGCTTTGTGCTTGGGATGTTTATTATAATTGTCATTTTGACAGAATCTAGAATCACTTGCCTTGCCAGATGGGCCTCTGGGCCAGTAGGTGATTAACTTACATGTATTGTTTGAGGTGGGAAGCCCCTCCTACTGTGCGTGGTACTTTTCCCTGGCTAGGACCCTAAACTATATAAGTCCAATGGGTTTCAACCTTTCTAATGCTGTGACCTTTTAATACAGTTCCTCGGGTTGTGGTGACGCCAACCATAAAATTATTTTTGTTGCTACTTCATAACTGTAACTTTGCTACTGTTATGAATCATAATGTAAACATCTGTGTTTTTCAATGGTCTTAGATGATCCCTGTGAAAAGGTTGTTTAACCCCAATGGGTCATGCCCCACAGGTTGAGAACCACTGAAATAAGTGAAGAAAGGGGCGATAGTTTGCTTGAATAGTTTGCTGTTTCTGGTTGGTGGATGCAATATGCAATAGAACCTGCTGCTTTTGCTGTCTTGACTTCCTCACCTTGATGGTCAATGCCCTTGAACTGTGAGTCAGAATAATTCCTCTTTCCTGGACATTGTTTTCCTTAGGGTATTTTATCACAGCACAAGAAAAGAAACCAAGCCTGCCACATTTTGAAAGGAGCTGACCCTCAAGGCAAAGCCGTACCTTTCTTCTCTGATTGAGTTGCTTCCACTCTTCCACTGTGGTGAGGTAATTCACCGCTGCATACTCAATGACCGACAGAAACACAAAGAGGGAGCTGACCCACATGTACACGTCCACTGCCTTGACGTACGACACCTGGGGCATGGAGGCATTCACACCAGTGACGATTGTGGACATGGTGAGCACTGTGGTGATTCCTGCAGGTCAAGAAGAGTGAGTGAGAAACTCAGTGAAACAGCCATTCATACATCATCAAGGCACGTCCCTTGGAAACAAAATTAATCTGGTGTCCCAGAGCTGGAGTGAACCTCTGCATGCTAGCTTTGGACACCTAAAGGGTCTCACTGGATTTTTTTTTCTGCCTCTGTGTCTTGCTGTTTCCTACAGAGGTTCCACCTTTCATCAAAACACAAAAACCCAACATGTTTGGAGCCTGTACATAAATGAGAAACTTCTGATCATCCCAGAAAGATAAAAATGTGCCAGCTTAAGGCATTCTTCTCTGAATATTTAATAACTGTTGCTCTTAAGAAGTTATTGTCTTTATATCTACCATTACTCTGTCATGGAGCAAAGGGAGCTCAGTCTTTCTTGGTTGATTTTCAGTACTACTACTATTTCTCCCCATTTTTCTTTCACCAAAAATGTCAAAAACAAAACAAAACAAACAAACAAAAAAACAAAGCCATCATTATTTTCTTTGGACTCCCATAAATGAAATGACACTTCAACTGAAACTCAGAGAGCCTGTGTCTGAGCAGATGGTCATTATTCTTCTTTCTCTCCTCCCCTCTGCTATCTCTGTTTCCTTCTCTTCCTTCCCCTTTTCTAGAATCTAGAAGACTCCTGCTTTCTTCCATTTCTTTTTTCCTGCTCTGTTTTCTTTCTTTTGTCTCTTAAGAGAGCAGTCCTGGTGAATAGATTTGAGTTCTGGGAGACAAATGAAGGCAGGAGTGACTCAGCTTTTAGGAAAACACTAGTTACAAGAGCCGTTAGATCTCCACCTTAATCTCTCAGAAGAATATTGCTAGTTTTGTCTGGAGAGAAGGTGCAATGTTGTAAATATCTGAAATGCACACTGGCTGCAGTGGTTTCATTTGTTAACTTTGCACGAGGCGGGTACAAATGAAATCCATGTGAGCTTATGGAGTGTGGAGCCCCCAACAGCAGGAAGAGCACTGTGATTTACTCTTGACTGAGAGACACTTTCACCAAGAGGCTTCTATCCTCTCTTCAGGATTGTGTGGGGTGCTCCTGCATGGGACCCCCTATGCCAAACACAATGGCAACTCTGTAGAACCACTCAATTTCAAATGAAGTTTTAGTTTGCATAACAAAGCACACTACAGCTTTGTAGTTTGACAATTATGATGGGAAAAATCAAGAATCTCATCTTGACACTTGAACTTCTAAACTCTCTTTTCTAGCTCTTAACACTAGGCAAAGGGACTGTTTCATTCAATCTCAGGTTTCCATGCAAGAACAGTAACAATAAACAAACACACACAACACCAAACAAAGACAACAACGAACAGTCTGCGTGCAGCTATATGTTGTCTCCATGCTTTGGATTCAAAACACACTTGTTATGTAAACGTGGAGTCATGAATTTTTTATTAGTGCAACACATAGAACTGAAAACATTAGAACTTAAAAGTTGTTTGCCTCAATCAGATATTCACCTGCTGTACACTTTGGTAAATGTTGGCCATAGATTACAAAAATGAAATAAATGCTGAGGATAGCTGAGTGATTGGGCCACAGTTTGTCAGGAGCAGGATTCTGATCTGATCTCTCTCTGTCAGTGTTAAGCCTGTAATGTTTTTTTTTTAATTGTATACTTACTGCCTCTCGTTTTAGACCTGAAAGGGAATATCTTTTATTTATGAGACTATAAATCAGTTTCTATATGTGGCAGATCTCTGAGAGAAGATCCTACAAAGTATGGGGGATATGTCAAAGGGCATGAAGAGGGTACTCTGTACTTTCAGTGGGCCAGAAGTCTTAATCCCTTTAAGATGTCCTTCTAGGAACTGAGGGAATCCTGAGTTCACACTCTTCTACAGTAACTTCCATCAGCAGTTCAAGAAAAATGTAAATGTCTTCTCTTCATTTTATAAGATATGGAGCATAGAACGTCATTGTTTTTCAATAGACAGTAATTTGGATTTAGAGAATAAAATAAAGGTTTAGAAAAGTTACAAGTGTACATGAGTTATGAGTATACACTGGGATCATTGACTATTTGGATTAATAAAAATGAACCACAGTGTCTACATTTTCCAGAGAGGAATTAACTATCAATCATTTTCTTTAAAAGGATGCCTAGCCCAACTAATTTACCACTTCTTTATTTAAATAGCCAGCAGTCCTGATTTTCATTGCATAAAATCAGCAATAATAATAATGATAAAATTAATGAGAGTGTGGGGAGGAAGAATTGTTGGATGGGGGAGTAAATGATAAGATAACTGCATAAACTCTTCGAGCAATGCAAGTGGAATTTGGGATTATTAGGGCTACATTAAACATACTTATTATGCCTTGAACCATCCCTTGGAAATACATTAATCTTGATAAGTGGTTTTCCTTGCAGATCCATTAAAGTTAACATCCCAGTAAAGGAGTTTTGAATCACAAGAACTGGCCATTTATTCAAGGAAAGGTCATATATTACATTAGAAAATTATATTCCCACCTACTGATATCAGTATGCATAGTGAGAAAAGTGTTATGAGAAAACATTTTGTCAGGCCATTTGACTCAGCCTCCATGAACTCTTGCAGTTTCACTATATTAACTTTTAAGCACATGCGTGTGTAAATTAAGGACCGTCAGAGGAAAACTCTTCCTGTCTGTGTTTCATTGACTGGCACACTGGAGCAGCAGTTCATTAACTATAATGATGGTAGTAGGCACACAGACATCACTTGTTGGACTTCTGACCTTGTTCACCCCCTCAGTGGATGTACTATAAATAGTTTTCCTGAGGGAGGGGTGGTCTTCATTTGCCTTCATGTGAGTAAGAACATTTTTCCTATGCTCATAGGTGCTGCGGGAGTATCTTCCGCTGCTTCAACCAATAGTCGCTGAAGCACGAGCCCACAGTGCTGTGGGAGGGCCTTCCACTCCATTAGTCAATAGCCGCTGAAATACCAGCCCACTGGGGCGTGGTATATTTCTCTTTTAAAAAGGAGCCACAGATCTCGGCTCGGGCCTCTTGGTTCCAGCACTTGGTCTCGGCTCCTGCTCCCGGCTCCTGCTCCAGCGACTAGGCTCCCTTCCTGACGGTTTATGGTGTATGTAAGTTTTACCCCCCAAAATAAATAACCCCTTAAAACATAACTGGTGTGGGATTGATTCACCGTTATTTGGCGCCCAGAGTTTGGTTTAAGAACCAACCCACCCCCCACCCCCCACCCCCAGCTCGACCTCTGGCTTGGCTACCTGCCACCAGCTGGGCTTGGTCAGCTGGGCTTGGCACGAGCCCTCCCTCAGCCATAACCTCCACGCCTCCCAGGATACACAGGTCCGGACAGTTTCTGCCGGCCTACTTTTCCCTGTTATACACGGATTTTTAAATTTTTCCTTGCAACGTGAGTCAAAGAGCTCACAGCGCAAGTTCCCTTTGAAGTTCCAGCAAGCTGTTTGAAACCCCTGCCATCCGCCATAACTGATTGGGAGTGCTGCAAGCAGCTTGACCCTTAATCCCAGCACAGGGACACAGGGCCCAAAACACTAGGCCTCTTTAGCAACAGCGTAGTGGCTGTGTCACAACCCTCTGCATTGGGTTGAACAGAGCGGCAGGGCAGGAGAGCCCAGCCGGGGTAGGCCAGGCTGCCTTATTTATTGGCCATTAGAAGCTCTCTGACCTTTTGTGATCTGTGAATTTAACCTCTGGATTTGAGTGTATATATTCTAGAGTTTACTTCCTGATTTGACGGCATTGCCACGTGGATTCAGGTGCGCCCCACCTCTTACTGGCAGGCAACGGTCATTACAGGTAAGATTCTTCTTTTCGGTTGAAAATACATACATACATACATACATACAACTACAATTTCCTTTGATTGAAAATGTCAGAAAATATTACTATCCAAAAGTTCAATGGTTTTTTTAATTGCGCAATGGAGGACATTCTGAAGGATGTCTCTGATATTCCTCTTACTTTGTTATTCCTGGGATCTGTCGCTTTTCTGGTGTTTGGCTATTTTATAAGAAAGATACAGTCCTTACAGACTGAATCTACAATGCTGAGGGCAGAGATTAAAACCTTAAGAACAATTCAGACTGATACCAACCTCCTCAAAAAAGAGTTTGGAGTTTTCAAGGAGGAGACTAGACCTTTGTCTGATATGACTCGGTCGACTGACCAAAATATCAAGAAGGTACAGTCTGATATTGCTTCTTTAGAAGGGAGCTTCACTGCTCTGGAGGAGGGGACAACCAAAATGACTCATAATCTCCAGTCCATGACTGTAAGTGCTGAAACATTAGCTGAGAGGATTATAACCATTGAATGTGAAAATCGGACTTTATCAAAAGGGTATGATAGATTAATTGACAGGATTTCCATACAAGAAGGCACAGTACATGCCATGAGGATTGTGTCCAAGGAGGAAATGGTGTCTCTGACAGACAAGCTCCATGCCTTAGAATCGTTAATGAAGGCTTTGGAGCATAATACTGGACAGGAGATTCAGGACTTACAGAAGGCAATGGTGAGCAGATTTACTAAGATTGAGGAAATCATAGACTCTGATGAACAGGAGCAAAAGGTAGAAAGGCAACATGCACCTCAAAAAACTCTCAGTCTACATAGAGTTATACCTGCCTTTCCAGTAATAACATCAGAAAAGATAACCGGCTCCAAAAACCCTAAGGTCATTAAAGAACATACATGGGAGCCTATACGTATGAATGATCTGAAAGAATTTAAACAAGCAATTGTGAATTATGGACTACATTCATCCTTTGTTAGGGAGATGTTAAAATCCTGGGCTCTGAGCAGCAGGGCCACCCCTCAAGATTGGAACCAGCTCACGTCAGCTGTCCTAGAGAACGGTCCTTTATGGCATTTCAAATGCCTATTCAAACAAGAGGCCAGACTTTTACAACAACAAGAATCAGCAAAAGGAATCGAGGTTTCTCTAGATCAAATTCTAGGGGAAGGACTTTACTCTGATCCTCAGGAACA